GTTATTGGGAAAAACACGTGACCCTCATGGTGCCTTCCCCTACCCGTAAGTATAAATGGGCACCGGCGAACTGTGAGGGAAACCTGACAAAATGAATGAGGGGGATTTGGGGGAAACCTGCAATGGACGAGCATTCCTCTCCTCCAAGGAGAAGTCGCTTCATGTTACAGAAACCGTGAAAAGCTGTGATAGAATAGGCCAGTAATCTAGAGTGTAGAGTTAACATCTTTTTAAAGGACTAACTGTTGGTTATGCCCATGTTTGTGTTGATTTGTTTTAGTTCCTGTGGAGAGTCTCACCGGGCAGAGCCTCTGCTTGCTGACGCGTATAAGATGTACAAACACGAGAGGTGGATTCTGCTTGCAACACAGTGTTTGGTCAAACTGGCTCACTGTCAAAAACAGCTTAAACACCTCGACAAGTATCCTTTAGTACTCTAATCAGAACTGGAATGTTTCGATTTCCAAAGCGAGGATTATGATTCCCAAATGGCGCAAGATCAGTCTGAAATTATTATTATTTGAAGTAATTTTCCAGCAGGTTTGAAAGCTTTCCTTAACCCCCGAGATATGCTGCCTCCTGTTCGATTTTGGCCTGTGAACAGAGTTTATCATCTAAGAGGAGGTCCCACTACACTCAGGAGTTGTTGCAGGTCATGCGAGAAACAATGGATTCAGGTATTCACAGCTCTGGAATAATCGGGTGGATGGAGTAATTCGCGAAAATTATGCAAACCCTCGACTGTTTCTCTGATTTGTAATGTTGTGTCGAATTCTAAGCTCTCTTCAGCCCCCTTTACGATTTTTAGCAAAAATTTAAATTTGGAATTCTCTGTATTTAAATCTCTTAGAACATAGCTTAGAACATAGCCTCGTACCACTCCCTTCCTACCCCTTTAGGGACTTCCTCCATGCGAAGATTGCAGCCATCCTGTCAGATCTTACGAGACGTGGCATACAAAACCAAAATCACCCGGAACTCGAACAAAACGCAGTGTTTGGCGTGTCAGAAAGTTAAGCGGGGTCGTTGTCAGACTCAAAAGGTTATGCAAAACATTTAAAATATATATATATATATACATATATNAACGACAACAACACCTCTGAAACATACATCGGACTCACAGAAACCGACTTCAAAACAAGACACAGAAATCACACCGCATCATTCCGCCACGCCAAGCACAAAAACTCTACCGAACTTAGCAAACACATCTGGACACTCAAGAACGACAACATTGACTATTCTATCTCATGGCGCATCTTATCATCTAACTCTCCCTACAACAGCTCCAATAAAAGATGCAACCTCTGCCTAAAAGAAAAATTCCTGATAATTTACCGACCCGACCTCTCATCACTAAATAAGCGTAACGAACTCGTATCTTCATGCCGACACAGAAACAAAGCGTTGCTACGCAACAACTGAACTTTAAAGTTTTTAAGTTTACCGCGCATTATGCAAATTTTCCTAGTATATAAACGATAGTCACATGAATATTCTTTCATTAAACCCCTGAAGAGTGAAGCGATTCACGAAACAGGCTTGTCGGGAAATGTAGTTACGTCCTTTTTTCCTCTCACAATATTTATTCTGCTCTGCTTCAACGTATTGAGCACTGTTCCACGCGAAAATCGACTTGCAGACTTCCTATATGTATATATAGATATATGTAGTACCAAGACCAAAGATATCTGGTGAATCTTGCCTCGCACCGTACTCATTTACCTTCACTTTCGTATTGTCCATGTCATGTTTTAGCACAAGCCATTGTTGTACGAGCTGAACCATTGCTGCGAGTGGAAGATGTGGAAATTGACTTGATGAAGGGTATCGGTAGTGTAGGGGAATGCATTCATGTCAAACTCAAGCTGTTCAGCGCCCTGGAGGAGGTAATTTTTACTTCAATATTTTTGGTGACAAAGCGTGTTCTGTAATTGCTCTTCATTGTAATATGCTTGGACTGGTTTTTTTTTTTTTTTTTTAACCTCTTATTAAACCTCAAATAGTGACTGGCATCTAATCTAATTTTACAGTATCACCCCTGAATCACACACAAGGTCATGAGTATTCAGGAAATGATCACCAAGTAAAGAAGCTCTTGATTTTTATACAAATTCTCCCTGTCAAGATCAAAGGAGGTATAGAGAGAACAGTATGGAGAATATGCAAACCAATGTTATGGTGTATAGTGTCAAAGGAGCAACGCATTGACATATTGAGGCCATATTAGTGTTAGCGAATTACCACAAAATATCGTAATAGCTGGAAACAATCGTTAGGATGGCCGGTGGTGGCGAGGATTTAAACGGTTTGCAGATAATTAACTTAAAATTTGAGGCAAAATTAGTCAAGAGGAACATTTTTTGACACAGCTGCTTTTTTGTCCTAAATTGTCACAATTTCCTGTTTTCTCTCCAAGGAGGTTACTTGTGGACGGATCAGCTTCAGCATTCAGACAAATGATCTGAAGCGTGTGGGTAGCATTCGTTCTAGTAAGAGAAACCGAGCTATGTCTCCGCCAGTAGTTGTGGAGAATGGGCTGTCTTCAGCTGCGCTTTCTGAGGAAGACTTGTCAGATAAACCTGTGACAGAGGACCAAGCAACCGGTACGACTTAGCGTTACTTTGGTTTTTGTTATGATACAGCGTATAGCAACTCGTGTTTTCACAAGTCATCAAACTTTGAAATAACTGCTAAAGGATTTTTATTGTATTCTATTCGCGTTTTTGCGTGAGGTTATGCAAGTATCGTGTAACGGTAGATACTTGTTATTCTCTCATTGATATTATTTTGCTTCATTCGTTCATTAGCCGATTTTGAATTAATAACAAGAAATATTATTAATATTTCTTATTATTTTGAATTGGTTGATGAGCACTACCATAGAGTTGTCATGTGTTTCATTACGATTAAGTAGTTTTTCGTTCTCATGATCTGTATATGTTATATTAGCGTCCGTGTTTCTTCTTTTCTAAGAATTTCATTGACATGGATACGCCAGAGATGTAAAATTCGTTTTATTTCACTTAGTCATTTGGTTACATCATCTAGTTAGATACTTGTTTTAATTTTTTTAATATTAAATTACACCTTCATATTCATTTATTTCGTTAAATGAATATCATTGCATTCGATATCGTGTCGCAGAATTGTAGCATTTACCCGCATCACACAATGACTCCGTGTGGCGCAGTATATTAGAATGATATTAAGATTTTACGGAAAGGAGAATAAACTAAATCTACGTATAACTACCAGAGGAGAGGTGGAGATAATTTTGAAGCTAATGGCATTTGTTTCCCAGGCTAGATACGTCAAAGTTTGTAAGCTATGTAAAATCCAACTTTCATATTGGCGCCTGGCAATTTAGTAAAATCTTCACCATCCTTAACCTCCAGCCCCCCTAGAGTGACTTGCATCTAATTTCTTCCCACGGTATCATTGTGGAATCAACTACATGCTTGATTCCACACTGATAGTGTGTCGTAAGAATAGCGGACGAAATGATCATCAAGACGCCAACCAAAGAAGCCCATGATTCACGAGGAGACTCTCTTTTTCAGTACAATTGTAAAGAGAACAGTATAACGAATATACATACTAATGATTACTGTGTGATGGATGTCCTCCCCTGATGTGGGATGGGTGGGATATTGGGCGCACTTAATTTGGAGCCTCGCTCTGTTGTGCGACCCTCACCATACTCTGGTGAAAGTGATTAAATAATGTTAGGGTGTAAAAAGTTAATTTTTGTCGTTTCTTTTGATATGCTCTTCCCATTTCAGACGGAGAAGCGTCCTCTGAAGGTGTTAGAGTAGAACAATCTCGCCCGCTGCCCTCTAAGCCGCCCTTATTACCAGAGGTGAAGAGTGTAGAAGAGTTGAATGTGTTAACAGATGGAGATGACTCAGACTGCTGTCTACAATGCTTCAATGTTCCCTTGAGATACGGAGTCAATGAGTACAACCTCACCGCACAGGTTGGCATTCCTAGACATAATTTGAATCCGGATGCGGTTGTTCAAAGTGCGGGTGACTCTATCCAAAGGATGAATCACTATCCAGCGGAAAAGAGGTCTTAAAACGTACTGTGCTACCCACCGGAGAGAGATTTATCCATAGGATAGCGTATTCCGTTCTTCGAACAACCGGGGCTGATGTTCAGGATGTAGCTCTTGCACTCTCTAGAGAAACGTAAGCGACCCCCGCAGCACGTGGTGATAGTTCTAATCTGACGTAACTTATGTGAATGGTCGAGCACCACGAGTATCTGGGGGGGGGAAGGGGAACGAAGGGGAAGGTTGCCAGTGATGGCAGTGATGGACTTGCTTCCCACTCTCAAGGGTAGCAATACCCAAAACCCGTCTGGAAGTGGAAATCTGCCGATCAGATTATTTATCGGCTGATAGACAGAGAACTCAGTAACTCAGTATCCCCTCCACCTCCCACCTAAGGAGGGGCGGCTAGATACCATGGAATGACACTGGAAGGGGGGGGGGAAGAATATGTCCATATGTCTAGAGTGACTTGCATTCAGCAAGTTAAAGATACAGTAAGGAAGATGGTAAGGCGTGAGCTCAATTTATTATTCTGACCACTTTCCAATCTTCTCTGCAGCTGTCCGAACCAGGCAACTATTGCCTTAGGCAGCTGTGTGTGGAGATTGGTCGTCTGGACTTTGTTTGGCCTCAGTTGTCTCTATCACGACAGTCAAGAGGATTTGCTATCGTGTGCGATCCTCCACAAATAAATTGGACTCACGAAAAAGGTTTGTTAATCTCGTTATTTTATTAGGGGGTTTTCGTCAATTGACCAATCAGGTTGAGCCTTGTAATTATATCGTTTGGACAATTGGCTGGTTATGTAAGCTTGCCTTTCTGGAATATCCAGGTTGCTTAGCGTCCTGCGAGAACAACTGCATGCTCAGCTAATTGGAAGAGACGAGTGAATATCTTTTTCTTTAACAATGTAGAATTGCTCATATTACCCCCTCGTAAATGGTATTATAAATCATTTCGCTAGTTTTTTTTCCTGGACTTTTTTCTGTAGGGCAATTATTCGGTATTTAAGTCTTGGACTCTTGTGATATACTCCTTTTTCTTTGAGTGGTTAATCTAATTTTGTTTCTCGCGGTGTCCATGTCTTGTGTGTTGTGTGTATGTAGATACATATGGTGTATCCTCATCATCACCATCGTCATAATCATAAACTTTATTTCATCTCGAATTTTAGAGTACCTTGTTGGAGCTAATATCTTCGAGAAAACATAAAATGGAGATTATCCATAGATATTCATACATATATCTGTACAAGGTCTAAAATACTAACTATACTAAAATATACTAAAATACACAGTATTTAGAAATATAATTATGTAACATATCAGTAGAAATTAACAGAAAAGTGAAGATAAGCGGGAGCGACTATATCTGTGTATCTCTGTGGATTGGCTCTTCTCAAAAGGTTACGCAAAATAGCGGAGGAACCTTTTTTTTAACCAGTTACCTTTTGCCAACATTTATTCCTTAGACCTTCATCTCTTATCTGGCCTGCTACAGCAAGTTACTCTCAGTGTATCAGTCGAGTCTGGGTCCATTGCTGACGGATCAGTGCTGGAAATCTCCTCTAAAAACCATGGTCTTACCTTCGAACCTGTACAGTCCGGACAAGCAATTGTAAATTGCTTAATGGGTAAAGAAGAGAGCAAAACAGCCCTCTACAGTATAGAAGTCAACATGATCCCCGAGGGCGATGATGTCACTGGCATCTCTTTTGCCATGGTTACCCTTCCAGCGTTAGGACCTTACGCTAAAATCGATTTTAACCTGAAGCTTCGTGCAAGTTTGGAGAAGCAGAGTATACAAGAGGAAATCACAGAACATAAGGTTTGGACTGCACTTGAGTGAGACTAGCATGAATTCTTAGTTTGATGAGCAAAGTTCAAAAAGAAAATTAGAATATGTTTATGTTTTCTTTCCAGCTTGTGTTCAGTTGTAAGTGGCTGTCTCCAGTGGTCACCGCGGAGCTGTCATGCTCGTTTCACCGTCCGTTTTCCGTTCGTCACGCGCTTCTCTCGTCTGAAAAGAGGTGAGTAGCAACGACACATGTGATCTAAAGCCTTTTAAGCTGAGCCCGAGCGGAAAACTCGGTGTTTTTGAGCAATTTCTATTGTCAATTGAGTGTCGAAAGTACTCCGAGATAGCCTTTTGCTTTACTTGGCTTTGTGACCTCCCGGTTAGCTCAATTTGTTAGAGCGCCGGACTGTGTTGTGCGGGAGGTCGAGGGTTCGAGCCCCGGCCGGACCAATACTCATGGTCTTAAAATAAGTGAGGAGAATTTGCTACCTTTCTAAAATCAAGAAATGGATAGATATTCTAGTCTTCTCGGATAAGGACGAATAAACTGTGGG